AACTGTCGAACAAACTGTTCAAAGACGGCCGGGTTCCAGCGACACTCCGGCACTCCTCTCTGGTTGCGGGGGGGGGGTCTATGTTCTTCGTCTAAACATCGGTGTTCTTTTGGGTGGATAAGTGAGTTCTGTTCACAGTTAGTGTCGGTCTTCCTTGTTGCATGTGATTTTGTTTTGACCTCATTTTTTAAGTCGTTTAAAGACACCTATTATTTTTGAAGCGACTATCTGCAATACTAAAATTTGGATTTATCATCGTTACCTTTTCTTCTCTATAAACCAGGATCGCTGTGAAACAAGAATTTAATTGTCATTTATTTTTCACCCTTTCCTACGGCTCGTAAATTTGAATAAATCGAGTTGTATGGTCAATTATGTTAGATGGCCAACGTCCAGGTGAGGCGGAGAATTTCATGAGCTCTAGTTTCAGCAGAGCTAAATGATTGGCTATTTAAAAAATCTTGCCACCCTTGTTAAATAATGAAAAAGCAACTCAATTATTTCCTTTCAATTCAGCGATTCATCTTTTGATTCTGCAAGAACGTCTAGACTGGAGTTGCAAATTGCGCCTCGTAAATTCTATTGATGAATAGAATTTTAAAAGCTACGTTTTCAGATCTGAGTCATGGGTGAGTAGTCGGTTTTCCAGCCAGTGGTTCTCCCGAGGCTGGGTGGCTAATTCTACCGTCTTACGGTTGTTCGTGGAAATTATCTTGCGTCGCATCGTTTTCCCTTTGCGGTCCTGACGCCCTCATTCTTCGCGCATGTCGTCTCGTTTACCGCCCACCCGCTTCTTTGCACTGCCAATCGCTGCTCGAAAACAATAAGGTTCTTTTAACAGCTATTCTTGGTATTCCTCTCCACAACATCCTCATTTATTTTTCTTCTCTTTCAACTGCTCATAATTTTCCTGCATACGTTTGTAATGTAATGGTCCAATTGTAGTTTTGAAGATTTGATTTCCAATATTAATAATTATAACTGTACCCAACCGATTCACACACGTGGCACCTTCACGCTCTGAAACTCGTCGATGACTCCATAAGGAGTTCATGAATCTATGGTATCTGTTTTTTCACTTGGTCGACACATCTAGCGTCACTTACTGGCTACAGCAGTGGTTTGCACTTCATCCTGATGGAGCTGGAATTTAAATATTCTTAGGTAATATCATCTATTTTTTGCACGTAATGGGGGGACTTCGTCTGTAATAATCATCTGTAGTAGTAGATCTCACATTCGAATGCAATAAATTTTTTGCTTCATCGAAATCAACGATGTAGTGAGATGGAATCTTTGCCTCTAAACTGGATGGCCTTCTTGCAGGTTCATTGTAACTTTCAATTCTAAAGTGCAGCGGTTCGTTCGCTTTTTTTAATAATCTTCTAAACCATATCATTGTGGCATTTCACAACCAAATGAAATCTAGTTTTAACCAGTGAAATATCAACTGTTTAAACTTTTTGTCAGT